TCCAATCTCAGGGTCCTCGTCCTCCTTCTCCTCCTCCTCCTCCTCTTCCTCCTCCTCCTCCTCCTCCCCTCCTCCTAGCGCGTGGTCCTTGGGAAAGGCAGCGCGGGGATGTGTGCTTCGGTGGCCAGCATACTGGGCCGAAGACCTGGTGCTCGCGCCCCCTACAGGCGCCGTTCCCACCAGTCTGCGCTCTCGCCGAAGGGGCTCTCTGGGTCCAGAAGCCCAAGCGGGAATGAGGCGGCATGGCTGCACGGGAAGCTGAGGGGCCCCTCCCGCGGTGCTTCGTGGGCGTCTGGACCTGGGGCGGGTCGTGCGGCCGTGGTCGGGGGTGCCTCCTGGTCCCGGGCCTGGTCCTGCGGGGCCCGTCAGCTTCATGGGAAAACAAAAAGGGAAACAAGGAGAAAGCACAAAAAGTTTCTGTCAGCATGGAGTACAGGCCCTCATGGGGGGCCCCAGAAACGGCAAGGCCACTTTTCACCGTTTCCGAAGACAGCGACAGGAAACGGCAACAAAAAAACGGTGCCAGGTTTGGAGCCAGAGCCGGAAACGGAACAAACACGGCGACGGACCCGGCAAACAAAAACGGCGCAGGAACTGGTCAGAAAACGGCAACATGGAACCGGTAAAAAAAATCGCCCTGTCGTCTCCAGTGCCCGATACCCGGAGCTTCCAGAGTGCAACCAAAAATGGCCCTCCAGACCTGTGGACCCATCTGGCCTGTTTGAAACTTCGACTGGATTTTACATGCCGAGGCCCTGCTCCAGCTGCCATTTCCCGACCCTGGCTCCCACTGCGTGCCCTGTTCCAGGGAGCGGTCAGCCCATGCCCGCGCCCCGGTGCCCTCCCGCAGCACCCTCGAAGGTGCCTCGACGCGGGCTCTGTCTGTCCGTCGAGGTCTTGGTGCTGTTTCTTAGCCCTCGAGGAGGAGGAGGAGGAGGAGGAGGAGGAGGAGGAGGAGGAAGAGGAGGAGGAGGAGGAGGAGGAGGAGGAGGAGGAGGAGGAGGAGGAGGAGGAGGAGGAGGAGGAGGAGGAGGAGGGGAGGAGGGGGGAGGAGGGGGGAGGAGGAGGGGAGGAGGAGGAGGAGAGGGAAGGAGGAGGAGGAGGAGGAGGAGGAGGAGGAGGAGGAGGAGGAGGAGGAGGAGGAGGAGGAGGAGGGAGGAGGAGGAGGAGGAGGAGGAGGAGGAGGAGGAGGCGGTTCCGAGGCCCCTTCAAGTTCGGCGGCCGCGGGGGCCCAAAGAGCGGAGGCGGGCGGCGGAGCACGCCAGGGCCGAGCTCTGCAGCGCTGCGGCCGCTCTCCCCCCCCGTCGGGGAGAGCGGCCCGTCCCGCGGGCCGGCCGCGTCGCGGCGAGGCGTCCTGCTTATGCACCTCGCAGCCTTCTGAGCCTCCTCCTCCTCCTCCTCCTCCTCGAGGCTCCTCCGTCCCCTCCCCTCCTCCTCCTTCCTCTCGCCTCTCGCGGAGGATGAGGAGTAGGAGGGTGAGCTCGTTCTCCTCCCTCTCCTCCTCTTCCTGCCTCTTCTTCTTTTTTGTTCGTATTGTTGTTATCACTAATAATCGCCTTACTACTTGTATTACTATATTAATTCGTATCATCATCTTCATCATTATTCTTACTACGATTTATTGTTATTGCTATTCGTCTTAGTTGCAGTATTATTATCAGTTTCATCGTTTGAATTTCTATTACTATTAATCCCCTTCTGGTCCTGCTCCCGCTTTTTCTGCCCTTCCTCCTCTTCCTCCTCGTCAGCCGAGGAGGGCGCGGCTGAATGCGGTGGCGATGGACCGGTTCAGGTCTGACCCCACTGGCAGGAACAGCAGCATAGGCGCCCCGCGGGAGGGCGCCGGTGCTCCTCTTACCAGCGTCGGAGGCGGAGGGGCCAAGGAAGAAGGGGAGGGGTTGGGACGAGGAGGGAGGCGGAGGGAGAGGGAGGAGGAACGAAAGAAGGCGGAGGAGTGAGGGAGGAGTGAGGAGGGAGCGAGGGAGCGAGGGAGCGAGGGAGGGAGGGAGGAGAAGGAGGAGGAGGAGGGGAAGGAGGAGGAGGAGGAACATGTAGGAGGAGGAGGGGGAGGAGGAGGAGGTGGAGGATGAGGAGGAGGAGGAGGAGGAGGAGGAGGCGAGGAGGAGGGGGGGAGGGGGAAGATGAGGAGGAGGTGGAGGAGGAGGAGGAGGAGGAGGAGGAGGACCCCTTCCGCCTGTTCCGTCTTCCCCTCCCTCCTTCCCCTCATCTCCCTTATCCTCCTCTCGGGTGCCCGCATCGGCGACGATCTATCGGTTTCGGAGCCGACTCGGGGCCCGTCTTTGGATCCGACCGGGAAACTTGGAGTCCCCTTAGCGCTCTCTTGGGGCTCATCCGCTTTTGATCCTCGTGAGCCACTCGGGGGGCCCTCTTGGGGCATCTTTGGCCTGCCAGAGGTCTCTGAGGCACAGCCTGGGCCGAAGTGGCACGAGGACGCCAATCACGGAGGCAAGGCGAATGTTTGCGGTGACGTGGGTCGCGGGATGGGGCTCTCGGAGAAGCTCCAGGGCCACCGGGGCAACCACCTCGGGGCCATGTTGAGGCACTCCCCTCGCCTTCCTTCCCTCACGAGTCATTCCCCCCAGTGGAGGTTTTCAGGGCCGCTCCCCACAGGTTCCCGTCGGCCTTCCAGGAGCCCTGCGAGGTCCGAGGCAGACCTCCAGCAGCATCCAGAGCGCACGAGAGGGCAGCGCCCTTTCCCACACCCCGAGCCCTCGACCGAATGATCTCGCATGCTGCCCCCTCTTCTCTCGTGTTGTTTTGTCTCTCCCTCCCCTCCTCGCTCCGTTCCCTCTGTTTCCTCTCTTCTCCGCTCACGTCTCGTCCTCTCCACTCGCCTCCCCTCCCCTCTCCCCTCTCTCGCTCCCTTCTTCTGTGCTCCCTCTTCCTCATCCACCGGCCTTCCCTCCCTCCCGGCCTCCCCCCATCCTCCCTTGTCATCCGTCCACTGTCTAGGAGGATTGCGTGTTTTGAAAAGTCGAATTCGACAGCAATTATGGTTTCACAGGTCGCACTTTCTTTTAGAAGAAAGTTGGACTTCGAAGAGTAGACCTCTTTTGGCAGTCGTGTTTTGCGACAGTGACTCTGATTTCCCAAACACGAAGTTTTCTCAGGCCCCCCTCCCCGTCCTCTCTACAGCCCTCCACCCTTCGCCTTCGTTCTTCCAAACCTTCCGCGCTGACCTTCCACGCTCCTGCGCGTCGTGAAACGCTGCGTTTTCTTGAGCTCCCTGAGGCTTTCCATAGTTTCCATGCATCACCCTCCGCGCCCTCCGCGCCCTCCGCGGAGGTCGGAAGGCATGGAGAAGTGGAGGTGGAGGGGCCCCCTTCTCTCTTTTCCTGCCGCCCGACACCGAGCTCGCCCGCTCCCGGCCCTCTGGAGCGCGCGCCCTGCCGCGCGCTGCGACGGCAACAGCTCTTCGACGGCCCCGGGGCCCGCCGATAGGCCCCCCGAGGCCAAAAACTGGAACGGGGCACCCGTCCTGATTGGAGAGGCCTGACGGCCGGTGCCGCCGACCCTGATCGAAAGGGCTAGGAGTTGGGGGAGGAGGAGGAGGAGGAGGAGGAGGAGGAGGAGGAGGAGGAGGAGGCCAAAAACTAGAACGGGGCACCCGTCCTGATTTTTGCTCGGTGCCCTCCTCGCCGAGGCCCTCGGGCCCGACGGCCCCTCCGGGGCCCTCGGCCCTGGGGTCCTCCTGGCCTGAAGTCGGGCCTGTCCCTCTGCGGGGGGAAATTCCAATGCAGTAAGGAAATAGTCCGGGGACGATTTTTCGACCATGTTTGACTATTTTTGAGCATGTGTTGCGTCTGTTACCTTCCTTGTTGAAAGTTCCCCTGTAGGAGGACATGCCCGACCTGATCCTAGCCGCCCCTGCGAGGCCCCCGGCTCAGGTGCAGCTCCTCCGAAGCCCCCTCGGGGCCTGGCGCGGCCCCTCCCGGCCGCTCCCGCGTGGCCCTCCCCGGGAGGAGCCGGCAGCTCCCGAGGACGCTCTCGGAGCAGGAGCAGTCGACCGAGAGTCCTCTCAGGAGGACAAGAAGCACACAGACACAATTCATCGTCGACTCCCAGGAAAATATGGGAAATTATTTGACAATATGGGAAAAGATGGGAAATGGGGGGGGGGCAAAAACCCAGAAAGTATGGTAAAGCATGGGGGATCCTGTTAGTTGTTTGTATGTCTTTGTGTGTCCCAGGGCCCCTTGAAGTCCAAGAGAGGGGGGCAACGTCGATGGGGGCCTCTCCGGCACTCTGCGGGGTTCGCGCTCCCCGAGAGCCTCCCCCGCCCCCAGAAGAGCATGCTTTCGGCCGCCGAGGAGCTTCGTTTCGAGCGGCGCTGGCCGGATGGGGCTGGCGGTAAGTCGGGCATGTCCCTCTATACAGGTGGAATGCCCCCCAGACATAGCCAAACAAAAATAGTCCGGCTTTACTTTCTGGCCATGCTTGAGCATGGTTTGACAAACTGCCATCGCTCTTCCGACACCCGCCTGTAGGAGGACATGCCCGACCTGAGGCTAGCACGAGGGTGGATCCGTTTCAGAGCGTCCTGGAACGCTCTCAGGTTTTTTTTATTGGTGGCAATGTCTGGCCACGTTGGCGCACTTTTTGACAAATTGCCATCTCTCTTCCGACACCCGCCTGTAGGAGGACGTGCCCGACCTGAGGCTAGCACGAGGGCAGATCCGTTTCAGAGCGTCCTGGAACGCTCTCAGAGCGTTCCGGAAAGTTCCGAGAAGGCCGCGGCAACGGAGACATCCTCCAGAAGCGCCAGACCTCGGAGATTTTCGATTTCTCCTCCCCAGAATTGATCCTCGTCCTGGATTCGTCCTATGCAGATGTGTAGCGTATTATGTTATCGTTGCGTGAGCTGACATGTTGAATATCGTTTCATTGATGTGCATCGTTGTCGCCCGCAACCGTTTTGCTCCAGGCACCTTCATGCGGCGAAGGAAGAGGGGTTCGTCCTTCACAGACATTATTTCTGCATGGTAGCGGAGCCCTCCGCCTCCTCGAACCAGGGCTTCGAGCTGGTCGAGGCGAGAGGGCTCCCGCTTCACCTCGCCTGCTGGGAGCGCTTCGTGCGCTGGGCTCTGCGGCGGGCGCTGCAGAAGAGGACCTGGTGGGCAGTCGGCCGGTTCTTGACTGAGTGTAGGAGGATCGAGGAAGAAGCTAGGGCCGACGTGAAGCGGGAGTTCGGTCAGAGCAACTGAGAACGGCGACTCCAGAGCAGATGCTGGAGCATATCAATCAGCTGATGCAGGGCCAGAGGCAGCTCGCGGTCCAGCTACAGAACTTGAAGGCGGAGAACGCACGATTGCGTCAGGAACATCAAGATGGTCTACGACAGTTACCAGATCTCGTCCAGACGCTGACCTCGCTGGTCGAAAGTCGTGGCCAGGGCGCCTCTCCAGGACTAGTGGACAACCGAGGTATCGGAAAACCAAGTGGATTTTCAGGAGATGAGAGTAAGTTCAGAGAGTGGAGCAAGAAGTTTGAGTTGAGGTCTCAGTGTATGGAGATAAGCTACGAGAAGTCCTGGAGTGGGCGGTTGAGAGGCCAGAGGCAGTTACCATCGAGGCGGTCAGCACAGCTTTCGGGGATGACTCGGAAGAGCCGATCGACAACATCGCGGGCATGAGCTCGCAGATGTATGCTGCCCTACAGCAACTGTGAACAGGAGAGCCCTTCGATATCGTGAGCAACGTGGCTTCGAACAACGGGTGTGATTGCTGGAGGAAGTTGCACAAGAGGTGCGACCCTGCCACGGGAAGCCGCAAGAGGGCGATTTTGAGGAACGTGTTGAGTCCCGGGCAGGCCATTCCAGATGAGCTTGGCTCGGCGCTGGAACGCTGGGAGGAGCTCGTGGCTAGATACGAACGGAGACGCGGACGGGATGGAGTTCGAGAGAGGCTGCCTGAGGATATTCGGATGTCGGCGCTGGAGTCTCTTCTACCAGACGACTTGGGCAAGCATGTCCGGCTTAATCAGTCGAGGTTCGCCGGCTACAATTCCCTCCGAGCGGAGGTGACGCAGTACATCGAGCAGCGTGCCGGCAACCTGGTCAAGGACCCGCCGGTCACTGGCGGACCAGGAGGAGGAGGAGGACAGCGCCGCAGAGGACCTGATGATATGGACGTTGGATCTCTTCAATATCGCGGTGGCAAAGGCGATGGCAAAGGAAACAAAGGCAAAGGATGTGGAGGTGGCAAAGGTGGCAAGGGCGACTCGAAAGGCAGGAAAGGAGACATGTCGAACGTGACTTGCTACAACCGCGGGAAGAATGGGCACGAAGCAGATCGGTGTTGGCAGAAGACTCGACATGGAAACGACTCGAAAGGCACCTCCAAAGGAGGCAAAGGCAAGAAGGGCAAGAAGGGCGGCAAGAAGGACGTGAATCAGATGGACGAGGACTGGGCGGAAGAAGGAGAAGGTCAAGCAAGGCAAGATCAGCCAGAGCCAGAAGAAGCCGGTGGTTTGGAGTTGTGTGCGCTCGCGCCGCCACTGTGCGTCATCGACTCAGAAAATTCGGTTTCAGTCAACTTTGATTCTAGAGCGGCTGCCGCTGTTATGCCAAGTTTGTGGTCAGCGGCAGTGGGTGCGCCGAGTGGTAGACAGTATCGCACGGCAAGTGGACAGATCATCGATGACGAGGGCCTGGGTGAGATCAGAGGGGTTGACGAGAACAACAGGAGAGCTCGGTTTCGAGCGCGCCGAGCGGCTGTGACCAAGCCACTCGCCTCGGCCTCGAAGATGCCGAGTGACAAGATCGGCTACATGGACAAGGAAGGTGGCTTGATCTATGGTGAGGACAGTGTTCCAGGTCGGCGGCTGCGACAGTTGGTGGAGCGTCTCAAGCGCGATCATCCAGATGAGGGCATTGGGCTTTGGCAAGAGAAAGAAGTATACAACGTGTATTTCAAGGGGGATCCCAAGACGGCGGCCGCGATGCGGAGCTCGACGAGTCGGAGTCCCACGAAGCCCGTCAACACAGTCGAGAGCGAGCTGGCCGCGCGTGCAAGGGATCTGGCAGCAAGGCCTCCGTCGGGGGGCCGCCGGCAGGTCCGCCTGCAAGGCCGGCCGCGGCGCCAGTTGCCCCAGGTGCTGGGGGGCTTCTGGCAGGGGCCGCAGAGCCAGCGAGGCCGGGTGGCGCGTCGCTGCCACCGCCGGCCCAGGAGGAGGCCAGACCTCCGAGAGTGAGGGTTCCGAGGACACCCTCGGCGCCTACGCAGAAGGAGATTGATCAGCACGAGGCGTCTGGGCATGCAGTGTTCAGGGCATGGTGTTCGGCGTGTTGTGATGGGCGTTCTTATGGGCAGCCGCGTCGTTTGGTTCCCAGAGATGAGGAGATGGAGGTTCCTGTTGTGTCCATGGACTTCGGGCACCTCGACCGCGCCGAGGCGGGCGCGGTCCAAGAGGGCCAGGAGCGGAGGATCACGTTTGTTGTTCTGCATTGCCGAAAGTTGAGATGTTATGGAGCTACAGCTTTACCCGACAAGGGAACGGGAGAGTTTGTTGTCAGAGCGTGCTCGGATTTCCTAGACTATCTAGGTCACAAGAGGTTGGTTCTCAGGTCGGATGGCGAGGAGGCGATGCTATCGCTCAAGAAGGCCATCGTGGACAAGTGCGAGTCTAAGGACATCATCTTAGAGGAATCGCCGGTTGGCGACCGCGCTGCGGACGGCCAAGTCGAGAACGCATTGAAGATCATCAAGGCGCAGGTCCGCACCATCCTGTTGGCGGCACAGTCGAGATGGGGCAAGCGCCTTCCGTTCGGGTACGTGCTTGCGCTCTGGGCCATCAGGCGCGCGGCCTCAGTCATCAATCGATTTCGAGTTGGAGCTGATGGACGCACTGGAGAGGAGTTGCGTACTGGGCGTAAGTGGGAGCGTGCGAGCGTGGCCTATGGCGAGCGCGTCAAGGGCAAGAGGCTCGTAGCCGACCAAAGGAAGCGAGATCTAGAGTCAAGATTCTTGGATGGGTTCTACATTGGACATTCTAGTCGGAGTTGGACAGCATTACTGATCACGAAAGATGGTGTTCAGAGAGCTACTGGGCTTGTACGTCGAGACCCAGTTGAGAGATGGAGATGCGGACCGGACGTTCTCGAGCTTCAGGGCGATCCCTGGACTTGGCAGCGAGGGCGTGGAGAGGAAGCTGTGGCTGCAGTACCTGCCCCAACTGGAGCTGTTCCACCAGCGGTCATACCTGTCGGAGTTCAGGCGCCTCCGGCGCCGCCACCGCAGGCAAGAGTTCCAATTGTGACGGACTTCTACGTGACGAGAGCCATCCTGGCGAGGGTTGGCTATGCCGCAGGCTGCGTATGCTGCGATGAGCTGCGAGTGCGCGGACAGCGAGGAGCGGCAGGCCTTAGTCACTCGGCTGGCTGCAGGACGCGCGCGCTCGAGGATTCGGTGAACTTGGGCGATCAGAAGGCCATTGACTTTCTGAACGAGAGGGCCCGTCAGGGCCAAGATACTGGGCCTGCAGCTGCCGTTGCTGGGCCATCTGGAGTTGAGCGACCTGAAGCACCGGCCGTCGTCCCCGCTCAGGCGGGACAAGGAGGAGGAGCGCCCGGCGCTCCCCCCGCGGGCCCAGGCGCTAGTGATGATGGGGCGTTGGCGCCCGATGCGAAGAGGCAGATGGAGAGGCCCCCGACAGTCATTCGAGCAGCAGACGACACACCGCGACGAGCAGCTACGAGGACAACGGACGGAGAGCCGGCGTCGAAGTCACCGGCTGCTACGTTCGGGAGCTCGAGTTCGCCCTCGCGAGTACGTCCTCGTGAGGATCCTGGAGATGGAGGTGGTGGTGATCGGGTATCTGCTGCGCTTCAGGATGCTCCTGTGCCTGAGGCTTCGAGTTCTTTTGCGGGTCCAGCTTCGGGAGTTTCGGGCTCAGGCGCTGTGGACATGAACGTTGGAAGCTTGGAGGTTGATTCGAGTGCCCCGCTGGAGTTGCAGTCCCTGGCGATCAGTGAGCTTTTCAATCCAGGTTGTTTCGCCGAGCTGGCGCCCGCTTTCGGATTGGCGCCGGGGGTTGCCGCAGACATTGAGCTTTTGAACGAGGACGGTGAGCCGTATGACCTGAGCCTCGAGAGCAATCAGGTCAAGTTTGAACGTGATGTTGAATTCGAAGACCCTTATTTTCTTTGCTCTGCTCCGCCCTGCACGAAGTTCACGACGCCGCAGGCCCTCAGCCGAGGGATGCGCAAGGATGGGGAGGGGCACCAGTTGCAAGTTGAGAATGACACGAAGTTGCTGCATTTTGGAATCCGGCAGTGTCGAAAGAGGCACGAGAAGAAGCGTTGGTTCTTGCACGAACGCCCTTGGTCGGCAAGTTCCTGGAGTGACCCAGACGCGGCCGCTCTTGCTTCAGAGCCGGGAGTTTATGTTGTACGTGGAGATATGTGTTCTTGGGACCTGAGGGCCGAGAACGAGAATGGAGAAATGGAGCCAGTCATGAAAGCAACGGGTCGGTTGACTAACAATGGACATCTAGCTGAACTCTTTAGTCGCAGGTGCAACGGCAAGCATAAGCATACGCAACTCATGGGCAAGAGCAAAGTTCGGGGAGCCAAGTCCTACACGATGAAGCTTAATAAGGTTATCCTTAAGGTGCTCAAGCAGGGGCTCGTGCGGATCGGCGAGGTGAATAGCGTGGCCCAGGCGGGCCCCATTCCCGACCAAGAGATAGAGTACTGGATGCCTGCTGCGCCGTGCGACGGCGTTGCGGAGAGCGGCTTTTGGGATGATGTCAACGGAGGTTGGTTAGATTCGGAGCTTGTCAGGGAAGCTAGGAAGCTCGAGATGGATTGGATGAAGCGCCAGTCGGTCCACTCCGAGTGCGATGAGTCCGAGTGCTACAAAGCGACGGGGAAGGGGCCGATTAACACCGGATGGGTCGACGCGAACAAAGGGGATAGCGAACGAGTTCGATATAGGTCGAGATTAGCGGCCAAGGAGGTGAAAAGGGCCGAGAGGCCCGGTGAGCAGCTTAGCGCTCGTGAACTTTTCAGTGGGACACTTCCGCCCGAGGCGATCAGATTTTTGGTGAGCCTCTTGGTTTCGCAGAAGTCTTCGAGCCGGGGTTTGCCTTTTTAATTCGGTTTTTGGAATGTGTCCCAGGCCCGTCTATACGGAGAGGCCCAGCGCAATGTTTTCATGCGCCTACCCCCGGAAGAAGGGGGGCCTGCAGGTAAGTGTGCTCGTTTGAACAAGTCGCTCTATGGAACCCAAGATGCGTCTCGCATCTGGCAGGGAGATTATATAACACACCTGGCCGGAGAAGGCTGGCGGCAGGGTGTGGCCTCGGCCGCGCTCATCTATCGTGAGAGCGACGGCGGTCGGGGGGCGGTTCACGGAGACGATGTTATGGTTTTGGGTGATGAGGTCACCCTGAGCGAGGTAGATCGTTGCCTTGGGCCCCTGTATGACATGAAATGCACAGGGATCCTGGGCCCCGATTCTGGCGATCATAAAGAGGTCGTTTTTTTTTTTTTTTTTTTTTTTTTTTTTTTTTTTTTTTTTTTTTTTTTTTTTTTTTTTTTTTTTTTTTTTTGGAAATATATATATATATAAAAAAAAGAAGAAAATTTATATATATATATATAATGCAATAATAAGCGGTCGAGATAGAAGGCGGCCAGCGCCGTGTAGATATGATCCTGCGTGAATTAGGTCTTGATCGTCCCGGGCCAAAAGGTTTGGAGAGTCCAGCTGCGAAGCTTTCGTTTCACGAGGCCACGGCCAGAGAAGCACTTCCTACTCTGGATGCTGCGGGGATTCGCTCGCATCGGTCTCTTGTCATGCGTGCTGCGTACTTGAGTTTGCACAGGCCAGACATTGCAGAGGCTACTAAGACCTTGTGTAAGGTCTATGAAGTCCCCCAATTCTGCTAACCAGGGCGATTTGAAGCGTCTTGGAAGATATCTTGTGTCTCATCGTTGTCTGGTCAGTCGTTGCGAGTCGCAGCGTTTGCCTACCGAAGTGACAGTGATCGTGGGCAGCGATCATGCAGGGTGCCCGATCACCCGCAAGTCGACATCGGGCATTGTTTGCAAGTTCGGCCGTCATGTCCTGAAGGCCTCGGGTTCTCTTCAGAGCACTTTGAGTTTGAGCAGTGGAGAGAGTGAATCCAATGCGATTGTGAAGGGGGCCGCCGCAGGCCTCTTAGCCCAGTCGATTGCTCAGGACCTCGGAGTTTCCCTCGGGGTCAGTGTTCGCAACAATGATGATTTTCCTATCCAGCTGGCGTCGGATTCGAGCGCCGCTCGTGCGTTTGCCCAGCGCAAGGGTTTGGGCAAGCAGAAGCATGTGCAAAGCAGATTTGTTTGGGTCCAGGACGCCTTTTCGAAGCGTAGGATCCGATTAATTTAAGTAGACACTCGCAACAATGAGAGTTGCATGTTGACTAAGCGCGTGCCGGGACATGTCTCGCGTAAGCATCTGGTCAGCATGGGTTTTGATTCTCGTGATTCGTGGAGCAGGCTACATAGAAAGCTGGCCTGAAGAGTCGGTTTCAGTCTGCGCTTTAGGAGGAGTGCGGATGTGTAGCATATTATGTTATCGTTGCGCGAGCTGACATGTTGAATGCCGTTTCATTGATGTGCATCGTTGTCGCCCGCAACCGTTTTGCTCCAGGCACTTTCACGCGGCGAAGGAAAAGGAGTTCGTTCTTCACATACATTATTTTTGCATCCTATGAGATCGCCCGGAATTGGTCCTGGAGTCGTCCTGGGTGGATCCGTTTCGGAGCGTTCCGGGACGCTCTCCGAGCGCACTGCAACGCCCTGAGAAGGCTGCGGCGCCCGGGACGGCCTCCAGAGCCGCGGGATCTCGGAGATCCGCGATATATCCTGAAGTCGGGCCTGTCCCCCATGCAGGGGGATCTTCGCGAGTCGCTTTCTGACAGTCCCAGGGCCCAGCGCGCGCGGACCCCCAGAGGCAAGACAAAAACACGCTCGTCGTGATTCTTTCCTGGCCCGAATTATGTTGCTCCCATCGCGCTCAGGGACCACATCCCAGAAACAATCTCGACCACCCGGAAGAAAATCGAACCAAGGTCGAACGAGTCCTGCCTCCCAGGGCCCGACACGAGGGTGGATCCGTTCCAGAGCGTTCCGGAACGCTCTCCGAGCGTACCGGAACGCCCTGAGAAGGCTGCGGCGCCCAGGACGGCCTCCCGAGCCGCGGGATCTCGGAGCTTCGCGATCTATCCTTGAGTCGGGCCTGTCCCCCTACAGGGGGATTTTCGACGACAAATAAGACAGATTCAAACAAATTACACGAAAATGATACAAAGATGGCCTGGGGACTACTCTTGGAGTATGTTTTGGCCTTTTTGATGCATTTTTGGTGTATTTTTGGTTCTTCGTCGAGAATCTCCCTGTAGGGGGACAGGCCCGACTTAAGGGCCGGGGGGAGCGGGGATCGGGGGTGGACAGACCTCCTACCCTGACACGTCGACCAGCGACTTGGCCGTTTCCGGTTCGCGAGAGGGCGTCGCGGCCGTCATTTTTGCGGGTCCGTCCGTCGGTGTCGGTCCCAGGCCGTTTTCACTAAGGGGAGGTTTACTACAGGGAGGTTTGTCCATCGCCGGGGGGAGGTGTGTGGGGGGGGGGGGGGCGGTGCGACGCGGAGCAAAGTGGTCGGGGCGAAGGGGGCATTGGGCGGAGGTTCCACTGGGCCGCTGGGGAGCGGTCCCTGGGCCCGGCGAGGGCCCCCAGAGGCCGACGTCGGAGCGCTCGGAGAAGTCCGCTGGCCTCGTCTTCGCCGGGCGCCCAGGCGGCGAAGGCCCCCGGAGGCCGACGACGGAGCGCTCTCTGAGAAGGCCGCCGGCTTCGTCTCCGCGGAGCGCCCAGGGGCGGGGCCCGCCAGCCGTCTGGGCCCTCGCCGCGCCGGCTGCCGCGGCCGCCCTGGACGCGCCCGCGCCTCGCGCGGGCGCCCCGCGCGGGCGAGGCGGTCCGCCGTCGCCGTCGTCATCGTCGTTGTCGTCGCCGCCGTCGTCGTCGTCGTCGTCGTCGTCGTTGTCGTGGACGTCGTCGTCGTCGTCGTCGTCGTCGTCGTCGCCGTCGTCGTCGTCGTCGTCGGCGCCTCGCGCGGGCGCCCGGGGCGGGGTGCGCAGGCAGCCGCGCGCCCACGATGGAGGCCGCGGGCGGGCCGGAGGCGGGCCCGTCGAGCCCAGGCCCGTCGAGCCCGGGCAGCGGCGCGGCGGAGGCCCAGGGCGCACTCGCCGAGGTCCTCCCTCCTCGCTCCTCCCTCCTCCTCGCTCCTCCTCGCTCCTCCTCGCTCCTCCTCGCTCCTCCTCCTCGCTCCTCGCTCCTTCCTCTCGCTCCTCTCCTCGCTCCTCGCTCCTCTCCTCGCTCCTCCTCCTCCTCCTCCTCCTCCTCCTCCTCCTCCTCCTCCTCTCCTCCTCCTCCTCCTCCTCCTCCTCCTCCTCCTCCTCCTCCTCTCCTCCTCCTCCTCCTCCTCCTCCTCCTCCTCCTCCTCCTCCTCCTCCTCCTCCTCCTCCTCCTCCTCCCTCCCCCTCCTCCTCGCTCCTCCTCGCTCCTCCTCCTCCTCCTCCTCCTCCGCTCCTCCTCGCTCCTCGCTCCTCGCTCCTCCTCCTCCCCTCCTCCTCCTCCTCCTCGCTCCTCCTCCTCCCTCCTCCTCGTCCTGCTCCTCCTCCTCCTCCTCCTCCTCCTCCTCCTCCATTCCTTTTCCTCCCAGAGGGTTACTCCCTGTCGCGCCCAGAGGCTTCCTCACAATTTATGGTCCTGGTGTTGATGCATGGGCAACAGTTTTTTATATTGAGGGCGGTTAGGTTTTAACACGTAGCTCTCGCCTTAGCGCCGCGCACATTTGTTTTAAGAATCGAACGGGTTTCACGTGCAAAGGAGTGAGGAGGAGAAGGAGGTGGATGGATGGATGGATGAGGGAGTGGGACGAAGGAGGAGGAATTGGATGAAGAGGAGGCGGAGGAGGAGGAGGAAGAGAAGGAGCAGGAGCAGGAAGAACAGGAGCAGGAGGAGGGCAAGCACAAGGGCCAGAGGTCTCTTGGATGCCTCTCGGAGCCTCTTGGGGTATCTCTTGGGCGAGTCTTGGTGGCCTCTCGGGACGTCTTCGGGGTCTCTTGGCGATCCTGGGGGCTCTTCGGGGTCTTGGGTGCTTCAGGGGCGGCCTCTCGGGGCCGCTGAGGGTCTTCTTGGGGGCCTCCTGGGGGCCTCTTGCGGGCCTCCTGGGGCCATCTTGGGGCCATCTTGGGACCTCTTGGGGCCTCCTGGGCGTTTCTTTGTGCCATCTTGGAGGAGATCCATCAAAGAAGAGCGGAGCTTCAATTAGGGTTGCCCCCCCAGGAGGCCAAAATGGGGCCCAAACCCTAGTAACACCAATTAGTTTGGCTTCCTCGCCGAGGCCGTTTTTGACGCTCTGATACCTCCCCGCCCCGCCCGTCCAGGTCCACGGGGAGGGGTAGGGGGAGGGGTAAACCCCTCCCCGAAGGGGAAGAGGGAGGGGTGGAAGAGGAAACGCTCTAAACCACCGACGCCCAGAGGGCTGGTGGGATTTCGCGTACTGAGGGCGGTTCCTTTTCAAAATGTGGTTCTCGCCTTAGCGCCGTGCGCATTCGCTTTTTGATTGCAAGAGTTTCGCCGATTGAGGGCGGGCGGGTTTCAAACAGTGGCTCTCGTCTTAGCGCCGCGCACGTTCGTTTTAAGCAGTGCAAGGGTTTCACTGGTTGAGGGCGGTTCCTTTTCAAACTGTGGTTCTCGTCTCAGCGCCCGGCACATTCGCTTAATGCACTTGCAAGAGCTTAACGTACCCGATATGGTGTTTGAGCACGATTCAGGACGGTCAGCACGCATCAATTACGTATATTCGCGGTGTTGTGGTCCCAGGAATGGCGTTCTGGCACGGTTCTGGATCGCCAAGACGCAACAGCCAGGTTAATTCGTGGTGATGAAGTCCTGAGAATAGTGTTTTGGCACGCTTCAAGATGTTCACACGGTTGTCTCCCAACGGGGCAAGTCCTTCCAGTGGAAATGACATTCATAGACGCCTATGAAGAGGGATCTTGGAGAGAGGGTGCATTTCAACATCGTTGATGAGTCTTCTGTTTAGACTGGTCCTCCTCCTCCTCCTCCTCCTCCTCCTCCTCCTTCCTGCCTCCTCCTCGTCCTCGCTGTCGTCCTCCTCCCTTTTCCACCTCCTCCTTTTCCCTTCATCCTCCTCCTCCTGCCTCCCCCGTCCTCCTCCTCCTCATCCCTCCTCATGGTGCCTGGTGCCTGGGGGCGGTTAGGATCCGTCGGATGCCGCCCTCCCCCTCCCCCACGGCCAGTCGGCCCTTGGGGATTGATCCAACTAGAAGCCTAGCACCTCCTGCTGCTCCTCCTCCTCGTCCTCCTCGTCCTCCTTCTCCTCCCCTTCCTCCTTCTCCTCCTCCTCCTGCGCCTCCTCCTCCTCATTCCTCTACTCCCTACTCCTCCTCATGCCTCCTGCTCCCTCCTTCTCCATCCCTGTTCCTTAAACGTAACTTTTCCTTGTCGCACCCCTAGACGTGTCGGTAGTGCGGGCCGGGCGTTTGGTCTGATCCTCTTTCGCAATGAATGACCCTGCCGAGCTCGAGGGTTGCAACATATTCACGGATGTAGGTCGGGTAGTTTTCAGAACCTGAGTGTCGTTTTAGCGCCGCGTTCACGTTGCTCTCGCCTCAGCGCCGCGCATATTCTGTTTGGAATTTGCAAGAGCCTCACGGATCGAGGGCTGCTCGTTTCCAACATGTGGTTAATGCCCTAGCGTCGCCAGCATTCCCTGTTAGAAATTGCAAGATGTTCGCGAATTCCAGTGGTCCGCGTACCAGAATTTGTGTTTTGGAAAGATTCAGGATTGTGATGGGCACAGCAGTTACGTTGATTCGCGGTGTTGAAGTCCCAGGAATGGCGTTCTGACGCGATTCATGATCGTCAAGACGCAGCAGTCAGATTGATCCGTGGCTTTGGAGTCCCGAGAATAGTGTTTTGGCATACTTCAGGGTCTTCAAACGGTTGTCTTCCAACGAGGCAGTTCCCTCAGTGGACATACCTTGTATGGGGCCTATGGAGAGGGAGCTTGGAGGGAGGGTTGATTCCAACATCGTTGATGACTCTCGGGCTTACATTGGTCCTCCTCCTCCTCCTCCTCCTCCTCCTTATCCTCCTCCTCTTGCTTCTCCTCCTCTTTCTCCTCCTCCTCGATCCTCCTCCTCGATCCTCCTCCTCGATCCTCGATCCTCTGGCCCCCCCCGCTCGCTGCCGAGCCCCCGCGGCGCAGGGCCTCGGCCTCTCCTCGTGGATGGCCTCGCCGGCGGAGCTGCAGGCCGCGGCCCTGGCCGCGGCGGGCGAGCCCGTGCCGGCGGGGGACGCCGGGCCGGGCCTGTCGTGGAAGCGGTGGGCGGGGCGGCGCGGCGGCCAGGAGGACGCGGGCCGGCGCCGCGGAGAGGAGAGGAGGGAGGGAGGGAGGGAGGGAGGGAGGGAGGAAGGGAGGAGGAGGGGGGAGGGAGGGAGGGGAGGCAGGGAGGGAGGGAGGGAGGGAGGGGCGGGAGGAGGAGGAGAGGAGGAGGAGGAGGAGGAGGGAGGAGGGAGGGAGGGAGGAGGAGGGAGGAGGAGGAGGGGAGGAGGAGGAGGAGGAGCAGCAGCAGAAGGATCGAGGAGGCGGAGGGGAGGAGGGAGGGAGGAGGAGAGGAAGAGGAGGAGGAGGAGTGAGGAGGAGGAGGAGGAGGAGGAGGAGGAGGAGGAGGAGGAGGAGGAGGAGGAGGAGGAGGAGGAGGAGGAGGGGAGGGAGGAGAAGGATGAGGAGGAGGAGGAGGAGGAGGAGGAGGCGGAGGAGGAGGAGGAGGAGGAGGAGGAGGAGGAGGAGTGAGGGAGGAGGAGGAGGTGGAGGAGGAGGAGGAGGAGGAGGGGGGAGGAGGAGGAGGAGGAGGCACTCTTTCAGGGACAAGGTTGGGAAAGACGCTGCAGACCGTGCTGCCAAGAACCGTGGCGAGGCTCGACGTCCGTACCCCCAGTTGTTAAGATTACTCGACGCGCAGCGCAAATTGGTCTCCCTTACCTCTCGCTGGACTGCCCGTGCTGGTGAAGCGATCGCCTCGGCCGACACCCTGCACAGGCAGAGGGCGGCTCAGCTCGCTGGTGATTGTTAGGCGGCGTCTCCGCCAGCCCTCGCTCAGTTGATCCTGGATGCCCAGGAGCAGTTGCGGCTCCCTGGGTCCAAGCAGCGCGTGTTGGCCTTTTTTTAAGATCGGTGACGTTTAGTTTTTTGTGTGCACTCTGTGCGCCGCGGGCACCTCGTCTCGTGTGGTGCACCTGACGTGTGAGTGCAAGCCCGTGCTCAGCAACGGCAGGCGCCAAGTCCTGGCGCGCTCGCAAGCTGGAGAATTCAAGTTCCAAGGTCGAGTGCAGCCCATTTTGGGCCTCCGCCTGCTTTCGGTCTCGACACGGGCGTCATAGCACGAGATGCGCCTCCTCTCGAGCGTGATGTTGTGTGCCGTCCTGTGTGTTTCGCTGTGAGCTCTGCAGATCGTGGTGCTATCGGCGTGTGACTGGCTGCGGAGGTGGTGCAAGCGGTAAGTGCCCCAACCAAAGGGGTAGCGCCGCCCTACCAAAGTGCCTGCCCCCGGTGGACGGGCTCCGTCCGCTCCTGGTGCTGTGCCCAGGGGGAGGAGGAGGAGGAGGAGGAGGAGGAGGAGGAGGAGGAGGAGGAGGAAGAGGAGGAGGAGAATGAGTGATGAGGAGGAGGGAGGAGGAGGAGGCGGGGAATGGAGTAAGTAAGCGGTCCGTCGCCCATTTATCTTCGACGGGGTTTGCGCAGATGTCGGCCCTCGGGGAGCCGTTCTCGGGGCTCGGGGCCTTTAGAACTGGTCGCGCCGTGGCGGAAAACTACCTCCAGGGGAAATTGTCGGGACCTGTGGAGTCCCAGACTGAATTCAGATCGGCGGATGCCAGGGCATGGAAAAGAACTCTTCCTCCTACCCCTGCTTCTCATGATCCTCCTCCTATCCCTTCCCCTCCCTTCTTCTTCTCCTCACCCCCCTCCCTCTGTCCCTTCCCTTCCGTTCCCTTCCCTTCCCTTCCCTTCCCTTCCTCTCCTCCTCCCTTCTTTCTTTCTCTCTCCTCCTTCCTCCTCTTCCTCATCTCCTCCGTATCCTCTCTCCTCCTTTTTTGACACATAGGTTCTCGTTTGCCAATGACCGCTCACGACCAGCTTCGCGGAGAGCCTCGTGGACAACGAACAGGGGCTGTGCGATAGATGTGGCGAGGAAATGGAAACCTCATATCATCGGAATTGGAGTTGGAACCATCACAGGGGGCTGGTGGCATACGATCACACATGCATGTGCAGTGGCTGCAGCAAGTACTCAACACGGCCACTATGAATGCGTTTGGCATCGAGGGCCTTCCCCATCGGCACGGCCGGCTAGGCCAGCATCTCAATCTCATAACGTGTGGCATGGAGGAGGGAACACTGATGGATTTCTTGCGAGATGTTTTCCTATGGGCAAGGGCTCCCTCGAGGGCGCGAAGTTATTCGCGCTTCGCGCTTCGCGGTCCTCGTTCCTTCTCCCCCTCCTCCTCGTCCTCCTATTCTCCCTTTGGGAGGGCGGCGCGAGAGCGCGAAGTTATTCGCGCTTCGCGCAGCGCGAAGCGCGAAGTTGGGAGCCCTAGTATGGGATCCGAAACAGCACGGTGATGCGAGCGGAGGCCCAGGCCCGACACACATTGTGAGAACGTGAACAGAGGGTGGAGAAGCCAGCGTCAGTCATGTCCTAAGGTCGGGGGAGCGTAAGACCCGGGTTTGCCGGGACTCGGGTTCGCCATCGTTTTTTGACCACTGCGCCTCGGATTTTGACGAGGAGGAGTTTCGTGGGATGTCTGCAGCGGGAGGCCTCGTCAAAATGCAGGCTCGGCCTCGTCATTTTTTTGACGACCTCGTCGGGAATTTCCGAGTCCCCCGTACCCGGGTCTTACGTCTCCCCGATAAGGGTGGGGATGCGGATCTACGGGCCAGAATTGGTATCTTGCTGGAACACAGGCCGCCGCCTCTCCTCCAATTCAGGTTCGTTCATTCGCACCTTTCTGGGGAGGGCTGATACAAGGACAAGCGGAGAGTTGGATGGCGATCGTTGATACAGTTGTTGATGAAGTGGTCGCAGCTACAACAGCCGAAGTCCGATTTCAAGATCATGTGCAACATCAGGTAATGGAAGCCGAACGTCGAGCAGACCTACTACGGCACCGGCTGTTACAGGCGTCCGAGATGAGGGACAAGGAACAGGCTGGGGCTCCACCTCTTCTTCTTCCTCCTCCTTCTCCTCCTCCCCCTCCCCCTCCTCCGCCTCCTCCCCCCTGCACGGTCCTTTGTAGCGACGTTCGTCACACAACGCCAGCTTGAAGATTCGGGTTTACAATGCAAGGTTTGTTTCGGCACGGCTACAACGGCAAAACCACCATCTGGAATGAGCCCTGTTGTTTCGAGCCCCTTAATCTCAACGGGGAGTTTCACACACACACACCAACGCACGCACACACGTACCTACACACACGCACACACACACACACACACAAACACACGCACAAACACACGCACACGCACACGCACACGCACACGCACACACACACACAAACACACATACACACACACACGCACATACAAACGCACGCACACACGCACACACGCACGCACGCACGCACGCACGCACATACACACACCCACACACACAGACACAGCACACACACACACACACACACACACGCACACACACGCACACACACGCACACACACGCACACACACACACACACACCACACACACACGCACACACACACACACCACACACACACACACACCCACACACCCACACACCCACACACCCACACACCCACACACCCACACACCCACACACCCACACACCCACACACCCACACACCCCACACACACACCCACACACACACACCACACACACCACCACCAACACCCCACACCCACACGCCCACACACCCACACGCCCACATGACCACACGCCACCCACATGCCCACACGCCCACACGCCCACACGCCCACACGCCCACACGCCCACATGCCACACACCCACATGCCCACACGCACACGCACACGCACACGCACAATCCCACGCACACGCACACGCAACGCACACGCACACGCCACACGCACAGCACACACACGCACGCACACACGCACACACGCACACACGCACGCACACACGCACACACACGCACACACGCACACAGCACACACGCACACACGCACACATGCACACATGCACACATGCACATGCACACACGCACACACGCACACCGCACACACGCACACACGCACACACGCACACACGCATACACGCACACACGAACACACGCACACACGCACAACACGCACACACGCACACACGCAGACACGCCACACGCACACAACACACACCAACACGCACACGCAAACACGCACACGCGCACACACACACACGCACACACGCGCACACGCGCACACGCGCACACGCACACACGCGCACACGCAGACACGCCCACACGCACACAACACACACACGCACACCACGCACACACACACACACACGCACACACGCGCACACGCACGCGCGCACACATGCACACACGCAGGCACGCACACGCGCACACACACACACACACACGCACGCACGCACGCACGCACGCACGCACGCACGCACGCACACACGCACGCACGCACGCACGCACGCACGCACGCACGCACGCACGCACGCACGCACGCACGCACGCACGCACACACACACACACACCCACACACACACCCACACACACACACACCCACACACACACACACGCACACACACACACACACCCACACACACACAGAGACACACGCGGAAAAAACGCGGAACAAAAACGCCCAGGGCTTTTTCAATGTTACCCTACCAAATACGGCGGCGAGCGAGGGGGGGGAAAGTGAGAAGGAGAGAAGGCCTTCGTAGAAGGCGCCAGGACTTCTCGGAAGCCCTCGCGCCCTCTGAGGAGGTTTCTGTGTCCTTGGGGAGGAAGGCTTCGAAAGCTGCTCGGGAGGCCGGGGGACATCCGAGCCTGCTGAGGAGGCCTTCGCCTCCTCCTCCCTTCCCCTCTGGGCTCGCCGTCGACGATCGATGCCACCGCACCGTGGCGGGGCCCGCCCCCCCCCCGGAAAAGTTGCCTCCCGGACCTTGCCAGGGCTCGGCGTTGCAGGAGGCGGCCGGGAGGGGGGCGCGGGCCCGCCGTGGAGAGGACGAGCGGCGGTGGCGCGCACAGCTGGGGCCCACGCCGAGAGGCACCCTGCCTGCATCCGGGGTGCCCCGGGTCTCCTGCGCTCCGAGGGCTGTGTGCGACGGAGGGCGTGGCGCGCCCGCGCCCAGCATCCACCCACGTCCTGGGGGGGGTCTCGGGGCTGGTGGCAAATGCAAGTTTGCCAAGCCTTGGAAGTTGCCCGACAATCATGGACAGAGACCGCCGGTTCCCGCCGAGCCGGCAGCAGGACCTACACCGCCAGATCCTGCTGAGGTAGCAGCACCACCACCCGAGGCGCCAGCAGCATCACCACTTACGCGAGACTCGGAGGCAAGGGCTGCCTTGGGGTCTCTGGATGGGGCACTGGCTTGCGGGCCGGCGTGGACGTCCCGGCCGGGGGCGCCCGTGTGGGTGGTGGCGCCTCGCTGTGGCCAAATGGGGGCTCTTTGCGCTCCCCCCTGTCTTTAAGGCTGGCATGCCCCCCTACAGGAGGAGACTTCAAACATAGTTTAAAGCATCGTCTGGGGACGATCTCTTCTACAACTTTTGAATGTTTTGACCATGCTTTGTATATTTTTTGACTGCTTCGTCCAAAATCCGCCTGTCGGAGGACATGCCCGCCCTAACAGGCCTCGGAACAAATTAGCGAACACTCATGCCACATTCATCCGTCAACGCCTCCCCCTCCCCCCAATGTTCAAATTTGGCGGTGGGTCTGATGAGATGCACTTCGACCGCAGTGTTCCCCCGCGCGTGCTAACATTGTGTTGTGGGGGGAGGGGAGTGTTCAGTAATTGTTTCCCTCTGCCGAATCCCTATGGCTGCACGATGCCTGCACAGTGCCTTTTTTATGCGTGCTCCGCGTGCGGATCATGTGTTTAAAATGTAGGGATTTAGTAGTAAAAACAACGATGAGTTCATGCATACATTGATTCATACATTAATCATGTATTAAACATTCGACTTGTTTTTTAAAATCCGATGTCTTAAAAACTGCCCTGTAAGATTGCCATCGCCTTTTGGCGTGTCAATCTTAGGGATAGGGATAAGTTGGAGGCTGGTAGCCTATGGCTGCACGATGCCTGTCGTCTCTCGAGGGCCCGCGCGGCGGTCCCGCGTCCGGCGCCTCTGTGCCCCCCCCTTTGCGGCGCCCGCCGCCGCCGCCCCCTTGGCGCGCCCTGCGCGGCACGGCGCGGAGCTCGGCGCCGATCTCGGAGAGGTCCGCGCGGAGCTCCGCCTCGAGCAGCGGCGGGGCGCCCTGGCTCGCCTATATATATATATATATATATATATATATATATATATATATACATATAACGGGGGACCGGGTCCGGGGGCCCGGGGCCGGGACCTCGACCGCAAATGTGGGCTCCGGGGGGCCCGGAGGCTCGTCGGGGCTTGCCGGAGGCCTCCCCGGTCAGACAAGAGGGCCCCAGAAGCGCCCAAGACGGCCCAAGAAACTTCCAAGAGGCCTCCAAGAGGGCTCCGAGATGCTGAAGATGGCCTCCAGACGTCCAAGGACGCCCCCAAGAGGCCCCAAGAAGCCTCCAACATGCGTCCCAAGAGGGCCCCTAGACGCAAAAAATTGCCCATTCCCTTCGTAAAACGTACATTTTCAACAAAGTTGCCTTTTGGGCTTTCCGACGTTACAGGACGGCCCAAGAGGCGCCCAAGACCGCCCCAAGACGGCCCAAGAAGCTTCCAAGAGGGCCCCAGGACAGCCCAAGAGGGCCCCAAGACGGCCCAAGAGGCGCCCAAGATGGCCCAAGAGGGCCCCAAGACGGGCCCAAGAGGGGGCCCAGAGGGGGACCACGAACCGCAAGCTCGAGCCTTCCGCCCCAAGAGGCCGCCAGGAGGCCCCCAGGAGGCCCCTCAAGAGGCCCCAGGAGACCCCCAAGAGGCCCAAAGGAGGCCCCGAGAAGCCCCAAATCGGCCCCCCAAATGCTTCGAACCTGCTTCCAGGAGGCCCCCGACAGGTTCAGAGGCTCCCAAGAAGCTACGTCAAACTCCCAGCGAGCGGCCGGACGAGGCCCCCCAAAAAATCCCAAGAGGGTTCCAGTATTTGTATCCTTCAGCGCTCTCTGGCCTTCTTTCCCCTGCCCCCTTCCCTGCGACTTTCGTTGACTCAAGCTCGCCTCCTCTCCATTTCCTCTCTCTGCCTCTCTATCTCTCTCTCTGTCTTCTTCTCTCTTTCTCTCTCTCTCTCTCCATCTCTCTCTCTCTCTCTTTTTTTTTGTTCTCTCTCTCTCTCTCCTTCGCTCTCTGTCTGTCTGTCTCTCTCTCTCTCTCTCCCTCTCTTTCTCTCTCTTTCTCTTTCTTCCTTTCATTTTCCGTGTCCTTGCGACCTTCTGCAGTCCCCGACGTCGCCACGGCTGGATTCGCTCGAGCGTGTCTTGTGATGTGCGGCGGTGCGAAGCCCGTCCCACTGATCAAGGCACAGGTACGAAATGATGGGTCCATCATTTCTTGCCTTCCCATGTGCGTTTTCCCAATCGATTCCTGGGCCCGAGGTCGCAAGAATTACGACGTCGGAGGTCTGGGGAGGCGGGAAGCACGACCTGGACCTCCGACGTCTTGGAAAAATCACGACGGCGGTTTCGGTCAATTTTCGGCCTCCTGGGCCCCTCGCAGGGTCCCGGGACCGTCAGAAAACGACTCAGGATGAAAAAAAAACACATCCCCAGGAAGTCGTCGAGAGGTCCAGGGGCCGCGCACAGAAAGCATCACGACATCGGACGTCCAGAGAGGAGGTAGGAACACGAGGAGGAGGGAGCCCAGACCTCCTGGCGACGCAACACCAAATACAACAAAAGCTTCCCCGCGACAGAAAAACGCCCCTACCCTGGTTGACGAGGCGCTGTGCGCTGAAACTCCTGTGGGCTGACAGGGTAAGCCCTGCGTGATGTGCCGCGTCCTGGCGGCTCTAGGCTTTGGGGGCTCCCAGGAGGTTTACAGACCATGCACTTGTAACCCAGGGTAGGGCCGTTTTTTCATCCCCCAATGTTGTTCTTAGAAGTTTTTTTTGGGGGGGTTCTAAGAGCATTTCGTGGCAGGACTATAGGAATGCCGGGACGGTCGACCCCTGCTCAAGGCCCGCGAGCTTCTGCCGCCGCCGCCCCTCTGGCGGGCTCCGCGCGCCGCGGGGCGGGTCCCGCGCCGATCCTCGCAGTCCGCGCGGCGTTCCGCGAGTTTGTGCTCGTGGGGCTCCACTGGCGGATGGACTATAGGATGGGTTTAGCCTGAATGTTTTCTTCCATCGGATCTGCGAGAAGTAGAAGGCTTACCCCGTAGATTATCAACAGTGACACGTCGACTCGTGAACCCCCAACAGTGACCCCCAACAGTGACACGTCGATTAGTGAATGGTCCGTTTTCGGTTCTCGGGAGGGCGCCGTGGCCGTCATTTTCCAGGCTCGCGCCCGCAAGGTTTGTTTGGGTCTCAGGCCGTTTTTACTATAAACCACGTTTTGCGAAAGGGGGGTCTGTCCATCCCCGAGTGGTGCTCCACTGGCGGATCGGCTATAGGATTGGTTTAGCCTGAATGTTTCTTCCATCGGTTCCAAGGCGTTCCTTCGCATGCACTTCGCTTTCAGCACCGCCTGATCCCGGGGCTTTGCCCTCTCTTGGCCTTGACGTGGGGCCCCGCCTCCTTTTTTCCTTCCTCTGTTAATTAAAGCTGTGCGCGGCCCGCTTAGCTTCGACCAGGGGAGGCTCGCTCTCGACCCGCGGATCAAACAAATATCCATCGGATCTGCGGGACGTAGAAAATTTACCTCGTCGGTCTCGGAGCATCCTACGCATCTCTCAGACATTCGACGGGAACAAAGCAGTTTTTGGGCGACTCGATTCGGCAGTCGATCCCCTAGTCGAGGTGCTTTCTTCCCCACATCTGGAGAACAACGGCGGGGAGGCCTGTCCCACGGCGGTTGGGGAGGTCGTGCCCCGACGGCGGCACGGTCGGCGGCAGGATTTCTCCAGCCGCCCAGGGACAGGCGTCCTTGACATCGGAATCGGTTATGTCGTCGTGTGCCTTCCCTTGTCCGCCCAAGGCAAGTTCAGATCCGCTCAAGTCGGGGAAACGTGCGACTCGAGTATGCCGAAACTCGATGTTGCCGACGCTTTCTGACGAGCGCGTCCCCGATTTTAACGGTCTAGTTTTCGTGGGATGGTTGCAACGGGAGTTGGCGTCAAGTTTCAGATAGTGTCTCGTCGTGTTCATTCTGGCCCCGTCAGGCCAACCCGATTCTCCCTAACCCGAGTCTTACGTCTCCCCGATCAAGGAAAGCTCAGACCGACGATGCATGTTGAACAAACAATGCGGAGGCGTGTCGCAGTTTCCCGCCTGGTGGCCCTCGCCGGGCTTTTGCCACCGCCAAATTGCTAACGTTTCGGGGTGATTGGGCGGCCCTGTGGAAAGGGGTCGGGCCTTCTGGGGGGGCCGTGCTCCTGCGAAGAAAGTGAGTGCATGTTGGATCTCTGGGAGTGTGTCCTGGGCGTCTTTCGGCCTGGCCTTCGGGAGCTCGTTGGCCCTCTCTTCCCCCCCCCGTTCTCCTCACAGCCTCCTCCTCCGACTCGCCTTCCCCCCCGGCTACTTCCCTAGCGCGCCTGGAGTGGGAGGCGGAGGGCGACGAAGTCGAGTATGTGGACAAGGGCAGCGGAGGACGAGGATGGCAGTCGGACAGGGTGGTGTGAGGAGTGGGATGGGGCACCTCCCAAAGGCTGCTTCTCTCGTCCTCTCTCGTCCCCCCTCCTCAGCGTATGAGCGGCGCAGATAAAACAGTCGGGGCCGCCTGCGCCGACATTGGCGCGCAAGCTGCCCGCGTAAGGTCGCGCGCAAGCGCCCTCGTCTCCAATGTAGCGTGCCGCGCTCCTCGGCGGCCCGCGTGAGCCGCCGCGTGAGGTCGCCATGCCACCTTGCGCCAGGACCTGTTTTTTCCAATGCCGCTCCAGTCGTTCTCTCCTCCTGTTCTCGCTCCTCCTGGTCGTACGCGGCGGCCACGAGGAGTACCAGCTGGGCGACGGGCTCCGCGGCATGTTCTCGGGCGCGGCCACCTCCGTCGGTGGGCCCGTATTCCACCACCACCACCACCAAAAGTTGGAAGGGGGGACGGTGGTGGAGGACGGGGAGGACGAGGACGAACAGGAGGAGGAGGAGGAGGCGAAGGAGGCGGAGGAGGAGGAGGAGGAGGAGGAAGGGGAAGGGGAGGAGGAGGAGGAGGAGGAGGAGGAGGAGGAGGAGGAGGAGGAGGAGGACGAGGGAGAGGAGGAGGAGGAGGGGAGGAGGAGGAGGAGGAGGAGGACCCCTCCCCCTCCAGCTTAGGGTGGAGGAGGAGGCGGAGGCGGAGGAGGAGGAGGCTTAGGGGTGGGGCGGAGGGGAGAGGAGGAGGAGGAGGAGGGAGGAGGAGGAGGACGACGAGGACAAGGAGGACGAGGAGGAGGAGAACGAGGAGGACGAGGAGGACGAGGAGGACGAGGAGGACGGGAGGAGGAGGAGGAGGAGGAGGAGGAGGAGGAGGAGGAGGAGGAGGCGGAGGAGGCAGCGCGGAGGAGGGAGAGGCGGAGGAGGCGAAGGAGGAGGGGGGGAGGAGGAGGCGGAGGAGGAGGAGGAGGAGGAGGAGGAGGAGGCGGCGGAGGGGGAGGCGGAGGAGGAGGAGGAGGAGGAGGAGGAGGTGGCAGGAGGAGGAGGAGGAGGAGGAGGAGGAGGAGGAGGAGGAGGAGGAGGAGGGGGAGACGGAGGAGGAGGAGGGGAGAGGAGGAGGAGGAGGAGGAGGAGGAGGAGGCGGAGGCGGAGGAGGAGGAGGAGGAGGAGGAGGCGGTTGCGGTGGTGGTGGTGGTGGAAGACGGGCCCACCACCCGTGGCGGACTCGGTGCGGGGGGCCAAGCACACCATGGCGAACGCCAAGCTCCGTGGTTGGCCGGGCCGCACGCCTGGGGGGGGGGGGCTTTGGCCCAGCTGCCTGGGCGCCCCCGTGGCGCCGTGCCGAGGCCACGGCGTGCGTTTTTGCTACGCCTCGGGCTTCGATATCCTGGCGTTAAGTGGAGCCTGCCCCTCTGCAGGGGGAATATTCAAAAATAATCATAAACTAGTCTGGGGACGATGTCTTGCCCATTTTTGAGCAGTTTGGGTGTATGTTTAAATCTTTTCCATTTTTCGTTCAAAAGCCCCTCTGTAGGGGGACAGACCCGACCTAGCCCCGAGGCCTGGGCGCCGCGGGCGCTGTGCAGAGGTCACGCCGTGCCTCTTTGCTACGCCTCGGGCCTCGAGATCCTGGCGTCGCATTCTTTCACGACGGGCGGCTTCGGGCCCTGGGGCCCTCATGGATCGGACCGGCTCGGGAGAGCGCGGAGAGAAGGGGTCCAGGGCTATCTGGCAGTCTAGTTCCCCGATGCTGCAACTTTCGCGTGACGTCGGGGCTCAGGGACCTTGGGCGTCTCTGCCGCGCTACAGAGCCCCAGGCCCTCCGCGCATGGACCCGGCCCGAGAGTTACTCTGCCGAAGGACGATGGGTCTCTGGAGCTGGCGCTTGTGGCGTGGCCACGGCCGCGCTTTTCGGGGCCCGAGGCCGGGGAGAGAGGCGTCCTTCCCGTGGGGGTGGAGGAGGAGGAGGAGAAGGAGGAAGAGGGGGAGGAGGAGGAGGAGGAGGAGGAGGGAGGAGTGGAGGAGGGGAGGAGGAGGAGGAGGAGGAGGAGGAGGAGGACGAGGAGGAGGAGGAGGAGGAGGAGGAGGAGGGGAGGAGGAGGAGGAGGAGGAGAGGAGGAGGAGGAGGAGGAGGGGGAGGAGGGGAGGAGGAGAGGAGGAGGAGGAGGAGGAGGAGGAGGAGGGAGGAGGAGGAGGAGGAGGAGGGGGAGGGGGAGGAGGAGGAGGGGGCGGAGAAGGAGGAGGTGGCAGGGCTCCAGGAGCCAGGGCTGCACCAGCGCACGGCGGCCGAGAGGGAGGCCGTGCCGGAGCGCGCCTCGGCCTGCGGCTGCAGATGCTTCTCGGGGGCGCGCCCAGCCTGCGGCCAGTCGCGGGAGCCGACCCCCGAGCGCGGGCATCCGATCGTCGCTCGGGGATCGGGCACCCCCGCCAGGGTTCGCTCCGCTGCAGCCGCGCTTCAAACTCTGAGCCCCGTTGGGCGTTTCAATGAACTTGACGTGCAGGAGCACTTCGCATATACATCGGCCCAGGGTCCAGACGGATCGTGGCAGGGCGTTCGGGAGCGCTCTGGGAGTGCGGGGGTGCTGGGGCGCTCTGGGATGGCCGCGGCGCAGAACTTGTGGGGACCAAGAAAACCGCCGGTGTTTAGAGATCCCCGATGTGTCCCGAGCTGGCTTTGCCCCGATCGTGGCCTCGTCTTACCCGACCTGTGGCTGCCTGCCTGTTTCTGTGGTGCGCCCAGTGCCCTGGCCCATCAAAGGTTTCGTTTTCGGTGTGTCAAATCATGGAGGCCTTGTGTACCCTCGTAATTTGTCTGCAGCGTCCATTGACGTCAGGGAATCGATGCGACAGCGCCAATTTAGCGTCGGCCAGCGTCGATCCGCGTCGATCTAGCGTCGTTTCGCGTCGATTTAGCGCGTCTAGCGTCGATTCGCAAGAGCCGACAAGATGGTGCGGGAGGCTCCCACGAGTTGCCACCGAACTCGCTTGCGGGTCCCGGAGGACTCTGACAGTGGTCGCCCCCGCCCCCCGGAGCCGCAGGGGCGGTGGGAGGGAGGGGCACGTGCTGTCCGAACGGGTGGAGAGGGGCTCGGAGGAGGAGGGGGAGGAGGGGGAGGAGGGGGAGGAGGAGGAGGGGGAGGAGGGGGAGGAGGAGGGGGAGGAGGAGGAGGAGGAGGAGGAGGAGGAGGAAGAGGAGGATGAGCAGGAGGAGGAGGCGGAGGAGGAGGAGGCGGAGGCAGGGGGCGGGGTTGGGCAAGCTCCGTCAGAAGCTCCACGATGCCCCCCTGGGTAAAAGGCCGCGTCCAGAACCGGCGCGCGAGAACGCGCGCGGGCAGGCGCTGCCCGCGGAGAGCGGAGCGCTCGAGAGCGCGAGGGCTCCCCCCGGTGGCTCCCGGCAGCTCGGCGGCGCCTCCCCGGGGTGGCGCCCGCCCGGCCGACCGCGGGCCGAGCTCAAGGTGAAGGAGACCGTGGAGCAGAAGGCCAGGGAGCAGGTCAGCAGCCTCCTGTCCAAGGACCTCCTCCTCCTCCTCCTCCTCCTCCTCCGCCTCCGCCTCCGCCTCCTCCTCCTCCTCCTCCTCCTCCGCCTCCGCCTCCGCCTCCCCTTCCTCCTCCTCCTTCTCCTCCTCCTTCTCCTCCTCCTTCTCCTCCTCCTCCTCCTCGGGCGAGGTTTAGGGTTTAGGGTTTAGGGTCCAGTAGCCCAGAGGCTCCAGAGGTGAAACCTGTGGGACGTGTCCCACCCACCCATGACCCAAGACATCCGGATCTCAGAACGACGACGACGATACCGATGACGAAGACGACGATATTGATCTCAAAACGACGACGACGACAGTCGCGCAAAGTCTTCTGGGAAGCCGCTGCAACGGCGATGCGGCACGCGCGCGACGACGCGATTTGAAGAACAACGTATATTTACGCGAGTCCCTGTGCGTCGCGGGGACGCCGCCCAGCGGCGGTGAGATTGCATGGAGTGGCTGCGCAACGAGCGTGCGTGAGAGGTGCGCCCTGCGATGTGCAAAAGCTCCCAGAACACCATTCCTGGCAGTCCGGGGGCAAGGATCCGCGTGAGGGGTGTGCCAAAATGGGGGGCGCATAAAGGGGGCACATAAGGGCGGGCTAAGGCATTGCAGGATTTAAATCTTTACAGGCTCTTGGTTCTCAGGGTTCATGGCTCAGAGTAGGGAGCAGGTCAGCAGCCTCCTGTTCGAGGACCTCGGGCGAGCGCGCAGGCCCAGGCCGCATCGAAAACGCCGAGGCGGCGCCCTGTCCCAGGCGATCGCGAACGCAGATCAAGCGGCGTGAACTGGCGACCGGTCCCGCTTCCACGGGAAATCGCGGAGTCTTGCCGCGGGGCGGGGCGGCACTGGTCGCACTGTGGGGAGGGCACCTCCCCAGATGCATGGATTCGGCGACCGCGCGCCACATCCCCTCGCCCTCATTCTTCCAGACCTTCCGTGCTGACCTTCCACGATCATGCGCTTCGTGAAATGCTAAGTTTTCTTGCGCTTCCTGCAGAGGCTCTCGAGAGTTTCAGTGCATCACCTTCCGCGCCGGTCGGAAGGTATGGAAGATGGAGGTGGAGGGTCTAGCGTGCGCTAGTCCATGTTTGCGCGCCTCCAGTGGTCACCGGTTCTGCTGCCTCTTTGGCGGCCCTCGCCAGGCCCCAGGGCCGCCAGTGACGCAGCTCAGGGCGAGAAGCTGGCCCCCGGGGGCGCGGTCGGGACTCCATGCAGGACCGCGTGCTGAACAAAAACCGGGCGGCGGATGTCAAGGTACAGTGGGGACCTTATAGTGGGCCCTGAAAGCGACAGGGCCGTTTTTGTTACCGGTTCGGTTCTGCCGTTTTTTTGCCGGTTCCGACGCCGTTTTTTTTTACCGGTTCCGTCGCCGTTTTTTGACCGGTTCTGGCTCCACTTCCAATCCTGGAGCCGTTTTTTTGTTGTTTCCGGTCGCGTTTTTTTTGCCGTTTCCATTTTGAAGGGGCATTTTTTTTGGAAACGGTGAAAAAACGGCCCCTGCCGTTTCCGGGGCCCACAAAGGTGGGGACGCTGACATGACCTTGAGATCCCGGCGTCGCATTTTTCCTGCAGCGGGCGGTTCTGCCAAGCTGTCGGGTTCCCGGGGCCCGCACGGGTCGATCAGTCTCAAAACATGTAGCAGACACGTGTGGCGCAGGGCTCCGGTTGAGTTTTTCCCGGCGTTGTAATTTTCATTACGTCGGATCTGAAGGAGAGAGCAGTTTGGCTTTGGAGGGGGCTCGCTGTTCCCCATAGCTCTTTCCACGGCTGTTCCTCCAGCGCTCCTTGTGCACGCGCCAGCCGGAGCCATGGACCCCATCTTCCTGTCTCATTTCTCGAGCGGGATCGAGCGCCGAGGGCCCCAGGAGCCCGCAACGAGGCAACCCACCCTGATGCTTCAACTGCAGCGCCAGGATCCTCCTTCCCAGACCCCCGACGTAATGATTTTTTCATTACGTCGACCCCCAGAGGTCCCGACCCTTTCCCCATGACCGGCTTTGCATCCGGAGTCGTTTTTTGACGCTCCCGAGGCCCGGTGAGGGCCCCCGGAGGCCGAAGATTAGGAAAAACCTCCCGTCATGATTTTTTCATTACTCGAGGGGGTCTGGGTTGTCGCTTGGCTTTGGGTTCGTAGCTCAGGCCTCCGGCGGCCGTTCGGGGCGATCTGGGCGCCCCCGGGCAGCTGTCGGCGAGGTCCAGCCGGGGTACACCTTGGCCGATGCTTAAGAAAACTTGCGTTTTCGGCCAGAGTCTCGATTATTCTTAACGTTTCAATGTAAATCCTAAGATTTTGATATAAAAAAAATGTTGGGCTTTTATGCAAGTTCTGAGACTATGAATTTCTTAACCCATGATTTCTTAAGCATTTCGCAGGGTGTAAGGCTTCCCGAGGCCGGAGAGCCGCCGGGAGGCGAGGAGGACGCCCGAGTGTCTTCTGTCGACGACGAGGAGCAGCAGCAGCAGCGGCGAGGCGAAGACCGCCTGGTTGTCGAAGGATTGCAATCCGACGAAGGATTGCAAAAAAAACATGTTTTTTTGCAATCCTGGGTGTTTTTTTGCAATCCTGGGTTTTTTTTGCAATCCGACGGTCCCTGCCGCGAGCGGTGCGCGCGAGTAGCCGAGGCGTTTCGGAAAGGGCCTCGAGGGTCGCAGGAGTGCATCTCCGAAGGATTGCAAAAAAACGAAGGATTGCAAAAAAACCCTTGAACGAAGGATTGCAAAAAAACGAAGGATTGCAAACAAACCCTTCGAAGGATTGCAAAAAACCCTTCGAAGGATTTGCAATCCTTCGTTCAAACGGTTTTCTTTTGCAATCCTTCGGTCAGCGGAAGGCGGCGAAAGATTGGCGGAAGGCGGCGGAGCTAAAAGGAGGCCGCCTCCGCCAGCGGAAGCCGGCGGATGGCCCGTGGAAGTGGACAGAAGTCCAGATGTGGCCTCCCATCCCACGAGGCCAGGACGAGGATAAGTCCGTGCCAGAGCGTCCCGGAACGCTCTCAGAGCGTTCCGGAGCAAACTGAGGGCAGCGGCGCCCGAAGCAATCTCCGGGATCGCCGGATCCCAGGGATCCTCGATTTATCCACACCTAGTGTTATCCTCGTCCTGGCTGTAAGTTGGGGCTGTTCCTCTACAGGGGGAATATCAGAAAATAGTCACAAAATAGTATGGAGACGATTCTGTGATCGTTTTAAATTATTTTCGGGGTATTCATTCTGGGCATTTCTCGCCCAAAATTCCCCTCCATAGGGGGACATGCCCGACCTAGTCCTGGCTTTGTCTTGCCCAGGAGATGGCAAGGTGTTCTGGTTTCAGGGCTTCCGCGGCCCGCCAGCCCGCCCCCCGCGGCCGTGTGGCCTTGTGGCGGCCGGCGGCTGCGCGCCTCGCCGAGGGCGGCTCTCTTTGGGGATGCCAGGTCCTCCCGAAAGCGGCCGCCAGAGGCGCGAGGCAGGATTCCAAAGCCGGCGTCGGTGGCGAGCTCCTGGGGGGGGAAGCGAGAAGGGGCGGGCCCTCTCGAGAGGCTCGGAAGGCCTCCTCCTCCTCCTCCTCTCCTTCTCCTCCTCCTCCTCCCCCCCTCCCTCCTCCTCCTCCTCCTCCCCCCCTCCCTCCTCCTCCTCCTCCCTCCTCCCCCTCCTCCTCCTCCTCCTCCTCCTCCTCCCCCTCCTCCCTCTCCTCCTCCTCTCCTCCTCCTCCTCCTCCTCCTCCTCCTCCTCCTCCTCCTCTCCTCCTCCTCCTCCTCCTCCTCCTCCCCCTCCTCCCCCTCCTCCTCCCCCTCCTCCTCCCTCCTCCAGCAGGACGGCGAGGCCGAGGCCGCGGAGCCGCGCTCGGAGCGGCCGCCGGTCGCAGAGCGCTGGTGGTACGAGGCGTGCCAGAGCGCCCACAGGGACCACGACCCCCAGGACCCAGATGCGCGGACGAGATGTTTCTTTGAGCAGGGACCGACCGCCCCGGCATTCCTATGGTCATACCACGAACTGTTCTTAGAACCCCAACCTGTCTAAGAACAAAAGCAAGTTTCCTAGAACATAAATCAACCCGATGTGGTAAAACAAGACAGTCCCAGCCAGAAATGTTCTAAGAACATTTCGTGGGAACCACACAAGCTTCTTGGAACATTGTTTGGTGGGGCTATAGGCGGACCGGGACGCTTCGTTACTGCTTGAATTCTAGGCCTCCTGGATGGGGTCGGAGTAGATGGGGTCGGTGGATGGCGCCGCATCGCCGACGCATCGCCGATGCGGCTCGATGTGCAGCCCGGTTTGCTTCACGCTGGCGTCGCCGATGCATCGCCGACGTTGCCAGTGCATGGCCGATGCATCGACGATGCATCGGCCATGCATTGCCGATGTATCGGCGATGCGGCGCGATCCTCCAACCCCATCTAAGTTACTCCGACCCCATCTAGGAGGCCTCTACAGATGCGCGGACGAGATGTATGCTGTATGCACCATATTTCCTTGGCGTCTCTCGAGGCAATGTCGATGCTCGACCCAGGAATGGGTGGTGCATAATGGTTTGTCGGCCCTTGGAGCCAACAAGCTGTGCACCCTGCCGCGTTGGAGCGAGGCCTGAAGGGAGTTCAAGCACGGTACGGTGCATAAGCGCCGGTTTCGTAACAGAGTAGGGAAATGTGGTCGAGACGTCATCCTCTTGGGCGCTTCTTCTCGGGGGGGACCGAAGTGAATACGGAAATAATGGGTACGAAAAGCCCACCGGCAGCAGCAGTTCTTGTTCCTTCTGGACAGGATGCGCTGTCGGCGTCGTGGCGGTTGCTGTTAATTTGAAACACAAGCTCGCTTGGCCAACAGCAGCCGCTGTTGGTTTTGGGCAACATGTGTTGATGGGCATCGTATCCATTTCGCCGTACCCATTTCGGGCGTCCAACACTTCGCTTTGGTGATGAGGATCTGATTCACGGGCGCTCTCGAGGGCGCGACGTCATTTCCGCGCCTCGCGGTGCAGCTCCGATCCCTCCTTGTCCTCCTCTTCTCCCCAGGGGGGGCGGCGCGAGAGCGCGAGGTCATGCGCGCTTCGTGCAGCGCGAGAGCGCGATGTTAGTCGGGTATGGCCAGGACCCCGGGTAAGGGGACCCAGTTAGTGGTAGGGCCCCGGAGCCTTTGAATTGGCCAGAATCACTAGACCAGGATTGCCATAGCTTTTGGTTTTTCGGGTGGCGGCAGTTCCGGTTAGTGGAAGTGGGACGGGGGGGGCGCCCCCAGTACAGATCACTAAACCAGGTTCCACCAAACTTAGGTCGGGCGTGTCCCCCTACAGGGGGATTTTCGACAAAAAAATAGAAATGTGTTAAACATGTTCCAAAATGGTCAAAACATATCCCCAAAATAGTCTCCAGGCTATTTTTGGATTATTTTTGTATTATTTTTGGATTATTTGTGATGTATGCTTTTGTATTTTTCGTCGACAATCCCCCTGTAGGGGGACAGGCCCGACTTAACACTAAACCCAGTCCTACCAACGCCCGAGTTAGGCGCCCTTGCGCTCTCCGTGCTGCCATCCCCTGCCGCATCCCGTGCCTGGGGGGGCGCGGGCGTGGCGGGCCCCCGCCGCTCCCACCGCCAGCGACGCCTCGAGGCGCCGCGCCCGTGGCCTTCGCCCAAGAGGCGAACACATGTCGAGACCGCTGCGCGGAGCCCCTCCCCCTCCTCCTCCTCCTCCTCCTCCTCCTCCTCCTCCTCCTCCTCCTCCTCAGGAAGGGGAAGGGCAAAGGAAGGGCAAGGGTCGGTAGCAGTGTGTATTGGTCCCCAGCGCGGGCCCCGCGTCAGGCTGCGTGCCGTATTCGGGGGTGCTCGTAGGGGCGGTGCGGCGTGCGTCGAGAGCCACAGGTCGCACTGGAAGGTAGGCGGCCATAAGTTCCGCCCCCCAGAGTTCACTCACCCTGCACACATTGTTAGGTAGCTTGCCTGGCAGTCGATAAGCAGCAGCAGACGAACTGCCACGGGCCTCCTCCTCCTCCTCCTCCTCCTCGGTCAGGAGGGGCAGTAGGAACACGCGGACACACGTCATCGTCGAGTTCCAGGGGAAATATGGAACTTGTGGGGAGTGGCGGGGAAGAGGAGGACATCCGGAAACCATTGAGACACACACGGGGAATGCTGTGACTACCGTCTATTCATTTGTGTGTGTCCCTGGGCCCCCTTCTTCTGGGCCTCCCCGTTGGGGTCAGAGTGGACAGAGTCGGAGGATCGCGCCGTATCGCCGCTGCATCGGCGACGCGGCTCGATGCGGAGCCCGCTGCTCTGCACGCCGACGTCGCCGAGGCACGGCCGAGGCCCCGGTGACTCGGCGCGATCCTCCGACCCCGGCTATTCTTAAGTCGGGCCTGTCCCCCTACAGGGGGATTTCCGACGAAAAATAAAAAATATCCCCCCCAAAAATAGTCCAAAAATAGTCTGGGGACTATGTTTTGAATATTTTTTTGCCTTCTTGGGGATTTTTTTGGGTATTTTCAGTTTTTCGCCGGGGGACACGCCCGACATAAGTCTATTCCGATCCCAGCTAGGAAGTCTCTGATCGAGGAGAGTCCTCGACGCCTTCAGCGGGATCCTCTTGGCAGTGCTGGTCAGGGCGCGCCCCGGGAGAGGCCCGGGGAGCCCATCCCCGCCCAAGACTCCAGGACCGTGCGGAGTCGCTGTCGGGGGCCCACTGCCGATCGATCGGCGGCGTATCGCCGATCCCAGGTCGATGCTCCCCCCCCCTGAGCCTCGTGGTTTTCGGGCCATCGCTTTAGGTCGGGCGTGTCCCCCCAGAGGCGGATTTGGGATGAAAAAGGAAGATACCCCCCCAAAATGCTCAAACATGTGCAGCAATAGTCAAACCATCGTCCCCAGACTACGTTTTAAACGTATTTCGGAATATTCCTCCTGTAGAGGGGCAGGCCCGACTGAACCACAGCTCCGGCCTCCGTCGCCCGCTGGCCGCGAGGCGCCGCCGCCGGAGGGCCCCCCCCTCCCCCCCCCGAGGCCGGAAGAGCTCCGCCGTTGCGCCCGGGAGCCCGAGGGTACGTCCCAGGACCTCGAGCCTCGATCCCTCGAGCGAGGGCAACCCCGATCCTCGAGGCTTCGAGGACCTCGATCCTTCGAGGACCTAGAGGACCTCGATCCTGCGAGGCTTCGAGGACCTCGAGACCTCGAGAACCTCGGCCCCGATCCTCGATCGAGGTCAGCCCGCGGTTGACCTCCCGAAACACGGCCGAGAACCTCGATCCTCGAGACTTCGAGCGATCCTCGAGACTTCGAGCCGGTCCCCCTAGCGTTGACCCTGATTCAGGGGCGGCCGATCATTCAGAGACTTGTGAGCGTTTTCGTTATTCGTTCTTTAGCCGATCGGCGGCGCGGGCCCTCGCACCCCCTCTCCCCCCCCCTGGAGTGATCTTGGCTGTCTTGGGCACTTGTTTCGAGCAGGTGGGGTCTCCCAGGGAGTGCTGCAAACAGTCGCACTAAGCAGAGGTCTGAAGCTAGACCTCTCCTCCCCTCCCCCCCTTCCGCCCAATGTCGAAACGCCGAATGAAAAAAACGCTGACTTTCGAGCTGGTCCCCCTAGCGCTGGCCCTCATTCAAAGGCGGCCGGTCAAGTTTCCTTTGGCGCCGATTCCAGGTCGATGTTTCGACCCCTGAACTGGTGCCCCCAATGTTAGATCGGGAATGAGAGAAGGAAACCCACCTTTCCTCGCTCAGGGAGAGAACAGCGCAGCTGGTTGCGACAAGTTCATCATCCTTCCACCATTCGCGTGATGTCGAGAGGAGAGTCGTGGCTCCGCCGATCTTGGGGCCGCTCCAGCATCTAATCGTTTCTGGCCCACATGTTTGTTTTCGTTGCACGATGGTGATCTCAGGAGGAGGAGGAGGAGGAGGAGGAGGAGGAGGAGGAGGAGGAGGAGGAGGAGGAAGAGGAGGAGGACGAGGAGGAGGAGGAGGAGGAGGAGGAGGAGAATGCTTGGGCTCGCATGAGGATGCCCCCCTCGAGCGCGTGGGCCCCCCAGGACGACGCGCCCCGGTGGCACGAGGGCGAGGCCGGGCTCTGGGCGCCACAACGCAGCGAGGCGCCAGGACGCGGGTCCGCCTCAGTTCGGGGCTGGACAGAACCCCCAACAGTGACACGTCGATTAGTGAATTGTCCGTTTTCGGTTCTCGAGAGGGCGCCGTGGCCGTTATTTTCCAGGCTTGCGCCCGCCAGGTTTGGGCCTCAGGTCGTTTTCACTAAACCACGTTTTACTAAAGGGGGGTCTGTCCATCCCCGATCAGTGCCGCCAGCGGCGCCGAAGCTGCCCGCGTAAGGTGGCGCGAAAGTTCCGAGGCTGGAATTTATGCACGACCACCGCCTGGAGGATCAATTCTCGGGGACCTCGGCATGCGGTGGGTATGGACGCATTCGGGCCCCAGGGGGCCGGAGCATATATCCATATCCACCGCCCGCTGGGGCACCAGAACGTTGGCTCCCAGGCGGTGGATCTGGATAGAACCTCGCCTCGCAAAGGTGGCGCGCAAGCGCCCACGTCTCCAACGCAACGTGCCGCGCTGGCGGCCCGCGCACACCGCAAGCGTGAGGTCGCGACGTCTCAGGAGCGAGCGAGGGACGTACACGTGCATGACTCCACGTTGGTTTTGAGAGTACGCACTGCGCGAGTGTTCGTATCACGCGGCCGGTCTTCGCGGATGGAGGGGCCGTGTTCATGTACACGGTTGGGCGCGTACGTCCTTCGTGGGCTCCGTAACGTTCGAGTAGGGGATCGGCTGCAGAATCGATTTACCTCCAAAATGGATTTCCCGTCAAACTTGCGAAGCCTACCTACAATGCTCCATAGATCTACCGACCATTCTACCTTATTCTTGCCCACGGGATCGAGAAGAAGACCAATCCTGGTGCAAACCAATTCTGTAGTCGATCCCCTACTCGAAACGTCACCTTGCGTATATGACCCGTTTCCTGTTCGGCGCTCCACCGCGGGCGCTCCCGCGCCCGCTCCCTGGCCAGGGCCGATCCTGGGGCCCAGGAGCGGAGCACGGTTTGGAGCGTTGGTGGAGGCACGCGCCCGGGAGGCTTCAGCCCCTGGAGGGTTCCTTCACTGATGAGTCGGGGGCGGAAAAGAGGGGGGTGATGACTAGGGGGGGTGGATACCATGGCGTGGGCCATGATATTTCCCCAGATCTCATGGCGCCTCTTCTTGTTTCATTACGTCCCTGGCCCCCCCGCTGGGCCGCGCACACGCCGCCGGTCATGATTTGCACCCCCCCCTCTTGGACACCCCCCTCTTGGCCGCTCCCGAATGAGGGCGGCGGTGATATCGGCGGCGAGCGAGGGGAAGAAGTTTCGGGTTCGAGGTTTCAGGTTTTCCGAAGGATTGCAAAACAACCCTGGATTGCAAGGGTTTTTTTGCAATCCCGTTTTTTTTGCAATCATTCCGAAGGATTTTCAGGGTTTTTTTTGCAATCCGTTTTTTTTTTTTTGCAATCCTGGGTTTGTTTGCAATCCTTGTTTTTTTTGCAATCCTGGGTTCTTTTGCAATCCTTTGTTCTCGCCGGTTCTCGGCGGTTTCCCGGCCTCGGGGTGCCCTGCCAGCAGCTGCGCCTCGCCGAGGTCGTTCCCGGGAGTGCCCAGGATCGCCCGGAACGGCCGCCGGAGGCCCGACTTATATGACCCAAAACCAAATTCGGTGGCGCGCTCGGGGGGGAGGAGGAGGAGGAGGAGGAGGAGGAGGAGGAGGAGGAGGAGGAGGAGGAGGAGAGAGGAGGAGGAGGAGGGAGGAGGAGGAGGAGGAGGAGGAGGAGGAGGAAGGAGGAGGAGGAGGAGGAGGAGGAGGAGGAGGAGGAGGAGGAGGAGGAGGAGGAGGAGGGGGAGGGGAGGGGAGGGGGAGGAGGAGGAGGAGGAGGAGGAGGAGGAGGAGGAGGAGGAGGAGGAGGAGGAGGAGGAGGAGGAGGAGGAGGAAGGCCTCGGGCTTTCTGAGAGGTTTTCTGCGTCTTCGGGGAAGGCTTAGAACACCTCTCAGAAGGCCGGGGGACTTCCGAGCCTGCTGAGAAGGCCTTCTCCTTCTCACTCCCCCCCCTCGCCCGCCGCGGATGGCTGGTTCCTGAACTGATGAGGCTGGCGGTGATGTCCATGGCCAAGCCTCAAGTGGATGTTCCACCAGCTTCTGGACCCTGCACTACTTTTCTGAGGGCTCCCCATCTATACGGTTAAGTCGGACATGTCCCTCTACAGGGAGAGATTCAAATCAAATAGTAAAACCTAGTCGGGGACGATTTTTCAATGTTTCTATGATTCTCGAATGTTTTTGATTTGTTGGGGCACTGTTCTTTTAAGATCCGCCTCTAGGAGGACATGCCCCGACCTAACTATACGGCATCACCCTATACAACGCCTGCCTGCCCGAGCCAGGAGGGCGTGCGCTCGGACGGGGCCATGGCGAGGACAGAGGCCGTTCCTCAGGCGAAGGCCGCGGCGCCCGAGACATCCTCCAGAGCCGCTGGGTCCCAGAGATTCTCGACGTATTGGGGGGCGACCGAATGGGGGGGGGGGGGGCAGCGAGGGCTGCCGGAAAGGGGCCCTGTAGGGCCCCTGTAGAGGGGCCCTTTCGGGCCCAGAAGGGGGCCCCGAGGGCACGAAAGGGGCACCTCTCCCCCCCACCTTGTCGCCCCTCAGTAGTTCGCGCCCAACTTTACCCTCACCGATTCTCTCCTCGTCCTGGCTTCGTCTTATACACGGCAGGATCGCAGGCCATTTTTGTTCTCCCAGCCCCCGACTTGTCGACGGGGGAGGGGGGCCCTGGGATGCACCCTAGGGGGGCTATCCCGACGCACCCCTATCGATGATGGACACCCCCCCATGGTCTTGGCATCGCTCGGACGTGTGCATTTTTTGCCAGCGGGGACCATCGAGGATCATCCTGGACTACCAAGCAAGAATAAACACGCACGAAACCGACAATTGCACTGGGAATGGACGTCCGATCAACGGCAGGTGGTATATCCCGGGGTTGGGCCCCAGATTTCTGGTCTGTTCGAAAACCCCACGAAGCCTGGGATAGGGGTTGACATATCCCTTGCTGTCTGCCTTCGACCTCAGTCCCCGACCTCCGCTCCACGACCCTCTCGGACCGGGATAGGATAGGACAAGGATAAATCCGTCCCAGAGCGTTCCGGAACGCCCTGAGAAGGCCGCGGCGCCCGAGACATCCTCCAGAACCCTCACCAGAATTTCTCCTCGCCCCGGCTTCGTCTTACACTTCTAGAAGAAGAGAAGTGCCATAAACATGAACGTGTGGCGCTCCGCGCGGATCTCTTGGATCCGCGCTGGAACTCCAGGATTTTTCCAGGGAGGCCTCCACGGCCTCCAGGGAGCACCCCCCGCGAGGCCCAGGAGGGCCCCCGCGGGGGCTGCACGGGGGGGAGCGAGCGAAAGCGGGAAAGGCAGGGGCCCCCCTTGGGCCGGGGACGTCCTCACCCGAATTGATCCTCGTCCTGGCCCCGTCTCTTGCCCTCTGCCCCCCCTCCCTCGCTCCTCGAACTCCGCTCCTCGGCCTGGCCTCGCCCTCCGCTCCTCGACCCCCGCTCCTCGACCTCCGCTCCTCGCCCTCGAGCCTCGACCTCGAGCCTCGCCCTCCCGCTCCTCGCCCTGGATCCTCGACCTCGCTCCTCGACCTCGACCCTCGCCCTCGAGCCTCGACCTCGAGCCTCGCCCTGGCCCCTCGAGCCTCGCCCTGGCCCCTCGAGCCTCGTGCCCTCTGCCCCCCCCCCTCGCCCTCGCTCCTCGACGCTCCGCTCCTCTCGGCCCGCGCTCCGCGGCATCCCGGGCTATCCTGGCTATCCTGGGCCCCGGGCTCCCGTCGGGCCCCGCCCCTCGGCAGGGGGAGGAGGAGGAGGAGGAGGAGGAGGAGGAGGAGGAGGAGGAGGAGGAGGAGGAGGAGGAGGAGGAGGAGGAGGAGGAGGAGGAGGAGGAGGAGGAGGCGCATCGAAAACTAGTCAAACAATAGCCTGGGGACGATTTTTTTGATTATTTTATCGCTTCGCTCATTCCGCCGGCCCTCGAGCGCTCTCTGGGGCCTCTTGGAAGCCTCTTGGGGGCCTCTCTGGGGCCTCCTGGGGGCCTCTTGGGGGCCTCTCGGGGGTCTCTTGGGGCTCCGTGGCGGCTTTTTTTTTTTTTTTTTTTTTTTTTTTTTTTTTTTTTTTTTTTTTTTTTTTTTTTTTTTTTTTAAAAAGAAAAAAAAAAATTATTATTATTATTATTATTATTATTATTATTATATATATACATATATATACATATATATATATATATATATATGTGGATCCTGGCCCCGGCCTTCAGTCGGGCCCGTCCCTCTGCAGGGAGAGCATCGAAACATAGTCGAACAAATGGCCTGGGGACGATTTTTTTGATTATTTTATCGCTTCGCTCATTCCGCCGGCCCTCGAGCGCTCTATGGGGCCTTTTTCAAGCCTCTTGGGGGCCTCTCTGGGGCCTCCTGGGGGCCTCTTGGGGGCCTCTCGGGGGTCTCTTGGGGCTCCTTGGCGGCGCCGATTTTTTTTGTTATTTTTGACCCTTTCGGCGTACTCTTTTGTCATTGTTTTTGCTTTGTCGTCCAGGCTCCGCCTGTAGGTCGACATGCCCGACCCAACCCTGGATCCTGGCCCCGGCCTTCAGTCGGGCCCGTCCCTCTGCAGGGGCAGCATCGAAACATAGTCAAACAAATAGCCTGGGTGCGATTTTTTGATTATTCATCGCTTCGCTCATTCCGCCGGCCCTGGAGCGCTATTTGGGCCTCTTGGGGCCGTCTTGGGGACTTCTTGGGGGCTTCTTGGGAGCGTCTTGGGGCTCCTTGGCGGCGAATTGGGCTCGCCTGGGGCCTCTTGGGGGGCTCTTGGGGGCCCCTTGGGGCGGGAGGGGGGGTAGTCGATTGCAGCCCTCCCCTCGGAGGCCACGATCCTCGTGAGGGGTGGCGAAACTTTGGATTTTGTTGACCCTTTCGGCGTACTTGTTTGATTGTTTTCGATTTGTCGTCCAGACTCCGCCTGTAGGTCGACATGCCCGACCTAACCCTGGATCCTGGCCC